AGTGAAAGAGAGAAGCTGGCTGAAAGTGTCGTGGTAAAACACTTGCCTGTCATGCACGATGTCCCAGGATCCATTCCCTATACCAGAAGAACAGGAAAAAAAACAAAACAAAATAAACTAGCAAAAACCAGTGGTCTACGCAGAGATGAGAACTCCGTTTGTAGTTTTAGAAATTGTTCTTTGGTTCACTCAAGAGTGATCAAGTGGTGAAGCCCTGATTCTAATCAAACTCAAGCTGTTTAGTTTTAAAACCTGAGTATTACTTTAAGTATGTAGTGTGGAATGTTTTTGTACACGTGATTTTTATACAACCCTTCTCTTCATAGGCCTTCCTATGACCCGGCTGACAAAAATACACATCAAGCCTCCATTTTCTGTCTTTAGTCCACCTGGCTAAGAGTTAGTAATTTATAATATTCCACAAATCTTCAAAATTTATTTTCAGTTGGCTGGATTTGAGGCTACAACTGTTGTTGCCTCTCTTTTATCTGGGAAAAAATTATATATTGGAAGTTTATTGACACACAATGTTGGACACTGAACATCTTATCACTCTACCATCGTTTTTCAGTAGTCAATATTAATTGCCAAAGTAAGAGTCCTACTGGAAACCTTTATTGTCATTATGATTTATAATTAATATCTGAGGCTGAGGCCCTCTTTTTTTGTAAAAGTGTCATAATCCCTCTGCCAAAATTTCACAGTTTAAATTTGTAATTTAAACTAGTTAATCAGGAGCATACACATTATTGCTTATGTAAGTTTTCTGGCTGGATTGCTGATGGCTTTCATTTTATGCCAATTCTAATTAACTTGTTAGTTTCACAGAATGACATTTTCTGACTCCAAACTATATAAAAATACTGTGTTTTTTAGACCTTATGAGGAAACTGCAAACTGTACATCTGAAAGCCTATTTTAAGGCATGAATTTTTCATGTGATTCCTAGGTGATTAATTATACACTTCATGTGTAACATTTAAGTGTTCAAACTTTTGTGAGAAGAAATTCTTTAGTAAATGAAGAGTGAAAAATGAGCAGTCAATTGATGGTGCATATCTGTAATCCCAGCCTTCTAGGAGGAAGGCTGAGGCAGGAGGATTACAAACTCAAGCCCAGCCTGAGCAACTTTGTGATGTAGTAAGACGCTGTCTAAAAATTTTTAAAAATTAAATTAAAAATGGCTGGGGATGTATCTCAGTGTAAAACTTCTGGGTTCAATACCAATACCACAAAAATAAATCAGTTGGACTGTCATTTGTGGGGGTTTTCTAGTTCTATTCCTGTTTGGCAGGTGAAAAACTAAGGAAGTAAGACACTAAACTCTGAAATAAAAACTATCCATACTGAAATGAGATTTTTTTTTTTTTGTTTCTATGCAAACAAAATAGCTAAGCACTCCCATTAAAAATCAAGTCACACTCATTGTGGGAATTTTGTGATTACAGGATCTGCACAGTTGCTGAATTATTTGACCACACAGGGTCCCAGAAAGTTTCTTCATGATAGTTTGAGATTCCTTGATATGTAAAAAGGTGATGGTAAATCTGAGATAGATCCAGAAATAGAATGCACAGGGCAGTTCTTGTATAGTATGTGCTACTTTCCACATTTTTGTTTTAAATAGAGGATGTTTATTTCATATTCTACCAGTCTAAAGTTCTTTTTTCTTACAGAATGATCATATCCCGGCACTCTTAGGAATGGCAACAGCTTACATGATCTTGAAACAGACACCAAAAGCCAGAAATCAGCTGAAGCGGATTGCAAAAATGAATTGGAATGCTATTGATGCAGAGGAGTTTGAGAAGAGTTGGCTCCTACTTGCTGATATTTATATTCAGTCAGCAAAATATGACATGGCAGAAGACCTGTTAAGACAATGCCTGCGTCATAATAGAGTAGGTGATTGAAGGATGAAAAATAATTGTTAACCTTTGTTACATAGACTTTCTACAGTAGGGTGTTATAATATGCTGGTCCATTTAAAATTATTCTTGAGTGTTTTTTTTTAAATATTAGATGTGTATTTTACCAGAAACAAGAATTAATGATAATAAGAAGTGATTTGCCCTTGTAAATACAAAACAAAGATTTATGCATTTTCAAGTTTCAGCTGTGGTGATGCCCTGCTTACAGAAAATGTTTCTGGAATGTCAAGTATTTAACTCTGATTATCATCTCATCCCAGAACTAATGAAAATTGCAGCACATTAATTTTGGATGTCTGTCCCTTCTATTAAGGATACTCTTGATGAATTTACTGCAGCTGTATGTCATTTCCTCATTAGGATCCACTGTGCATAATATATTTCATGGGGGAAAGTTTTGTTAGCTTTTAATTTAATAAAAATTCTTTAGATAGAAAATTGGGAAAAATCTTCGAGTTCATAGATTGAAAGGCTTTTTAATGACATTTTGGTATTTAGTCACACAAAAGAAAATGTCTTATGAAAGTTTTGTGAAGATTTTTGTTATTTGCTGAGAAATAATTGTACTTAGAAATTTGATGGTATTTATCTTCAGAGTTTCGTTCCAATTCTAATTTTTAATTACAGTAAATATTCTATTCTCTGAGCAAATTAGATTATGAAATTGATCATTTGTTTTCTAAAGAGGAGTTTTGATTATCTAGTACTATTTGTATACTTTCTTAAGAATTTAAAACAGCCAGCCATTTATCAGTGTATAAGTACTCTAAATGATCAGTTACAGCCATTTTAAATTAAGGTGGCCTTGAAAACAACAGAAGAATCTCATTAACAAGCTTTAAAATTCTAACTGGATGGTCAAACCTTATATGTGTAATCTAGAATCATGGAAGATTTTGTGAGAATTAAGGCTTTGAGCAGGCACAATTTCAGCTTACTGGAGCACTGACTCCAATACCTTGCATAATTGAACATGAAGACTACTATGGAGGCTTTGTTTGACCCTGCTGACTAGGCAATATCAAGATTGGTAGCATGAGCTTCAGGGACGAAAGAGCTTACAAATCTTGGATTATATCATTTACAAAAAAATGCAGATCATCCTGTTTTAGTCAGGAAATGTCCATGGTGACATTAGACCACCTTGTCATGCCAGATGTCAGAGGAGGTAATAGGCAGGAGGACAGTAGTGTCAAGGACTGAGGAGCCAACTCGAAGACACCCAAGGAGCCAAAGTTAGGGTGCATTTAAGTACTAGTAGGGATGATAAATGCAATAGGTTGAAATATTTAATCCATGGCTTCATAAAAAAGAAGAAAAGAAAACCTAATTGGTTATCACTGCAGTATGCCAATGAGCTCACTTACTTCTAAAGCTGAGGTAAAATGAAAGCAGCATCTGCCCTGTCTTCTCTGTATAAATTATACTGTTGAGTAGTCAGATAAGAGATAGTAGATAAGCAGAGATTTTTTCACTATACACATTTCTGAGACAGTAACTGAAGTCACACTGATAGCATCATTATTTTTCAAACCTGGTGAATTTTTGAATGGCCATAATATTACAAAAAATGGAAAATCAGACATTCTGTGCCTCCTGTTGGAAAAACACAGTACCTATGGATAGGTCAGGACTGGTGTGAGACAAGAGAAGTACTCAGTAATCAATATAATTTAATCAGTTGTTTTTAGAGAATCAAGAGAAATGTAAAAAATCAAAATGTTAGATAGGATTTGACTATGGTATGCTGAGGTATAGTGGAGCCTGAATCAATAGAGAAAGTCCGCATCTCTGTATTCATTTTCTAATGAATTCTATATTCATTTTCAATTTCGTAATAAGTCATGCTTTTAATGAAAGTACTGATAAAATGTAAAAGTAAAATTATAATAAAATCTACATATATAAATAAAATATTCAAGCCACTTGTAGCTCTAATTATAATTTCCAGAAATTATGTGACATAGGAATACATAAACACAGGAATCAGCTAACTAAAGGTGAGTTAAGAGAAACTCTAGGATAAATAATTTTGTTTACAAGACATTTAATTAAAAGAGACAGTGAAACTCAAAAACAAAAAAAACTAGATCAAAAAGAGACTTGGGATACATTCTAGCTCATCGCACCTTATGAACCTTATTTGGATATTCATTAGAACAAATCTTTTATATGTGTAAAAATTATATTGAAGCAGTTTGAAATTTGAATAGTTACTGGAGAGGAGAGGTGGTAGTTGAGTTGCCTACTTTATGTAGCATAAAGTGTGGTTATGGTAAAGAAGCACATTGACACTGTTATGGGTCAAATGATACAGTAGCTGAAGGTGTTTTCCTCGTAATGTGAAAGCACAAGTATGTGAAGAGGAGATGAGACATTTTCAAGAGTGAATTAATTTTTGAAGGTAAGTTATGGGTTCACAGATTTCATTGTACTTTCGTTTCTTTATTTATATGTGTTGAAATAACTTACAATAAATAATGCATATGTATATGTACAAAATACCTGAACTTTTATGTGCGTTTCTGATTTTGTTTAAAAAAAAGATTTTTTTTTATGATAGAAACATGGCACTAGAATTGTTCATTAAGTTGTATCAATAATATGAATCCATACTCAATATTGAAAACATTGTTCTCTGTGCCATTAAATATACCAGGGATTTATCTCAGTGACATAAACACCTGCCTGGCAAGTACAAGGTTGTGAGTTTGATCCCCAGTACCAAAAATAAAAACCAAAACAGAAAAAAATTAAATGGGTCCGTATGCTTGATCTCTTTGCTCATAAACATTCCATACAATTTTGATGGTGTCAAGTTTATTGATGCATTTTCCATTTTTCTTCAGTCTTGCTGCAAAGCTTATGAATATATGGGATACATCATGGAGAAAGAGCAAGCATATTCAGATGCCGCCTCAAACTATGAGATGGCGTGGAAGTACGGCAACCAGACAAACCCCGCAGTAGGTGAGTTTCGCGAATTAGGCACTGGGTTTTTACAGGAATCTTTATTCAAATGTGGTTTTTTTTTTCTTCAGAATAAAACATACTAAGAGCCAGTGTTCATTGTCTTTCTGAGAAGAGGATATATTTTATATTCATAATACATTTTATCTTCAAATATTTAAATATAATTTCCTGGGCTTCAAGCGCGACCTTGGTCACCTTAGCAAACATCTAGTCTAATTTTTCCATCATCTCTTCCTCATTCTGTAGTTTCAAGGAGGAGGTGTCCTGTTGTCAGCTAAGCTAGGGAAGTGTTGTATTAAGTCAAGCAACCCAGATATCTTTACTGTAGAAAGGCTCCAAGCCTTTAACCCACGGTTCCTTGTGATAAATCTCACAGAAGGACATTTCCTACAATTTGACCATGTCATACTGTTTTTCTGCTAACCATCTAAAAACAGTATCTAGTTTAGATGTTGTGTAAACAGTTTGAAGAATGCTAACCTACTGTGTCCCTGCAGCAGATGGTTAGCATCTGGAATATACTTAGTAGCTAACCTCAGCCCTCATTGTGAAGGAGCTCTTCCTATACTTTTCTCTTTGTTTATATTGAGCTGAAATCTACTTTGAAACTGCCCAGGGCTGTTCTCTGGAGCAGTCCATAGAGGGTTTTCCCACTCACTAATAATGGTACTCCTGCCCTGTTTTTATAAGGCTTTTCTTCAAATCAACCTCAATTATCTGTCCATTCATTCTAACATTTGGCATCGAGTCTTTCAACCTTGTTTCTGTACCTTGGAAGTTCAAACATGTTTTCCCTAACCTATGCTTTGGAACACTTGGAAAGATTTTAATAACTATTTAAAAATAAGAGAGAGAAAAAAGAAAAACAGCAGGTGAGTATGAAGAAGATGAATTCAATAGCCAAGAAGTGTAGAAAATGCTCTTTGATTTGTCCATGTCCTTCTGCCCTGTTACACATAAAATGAATGTTTGCAAATATGATTTGACTGTGAGTAAAATGTTTTTTTTTTCTTTTAATTAGGCATTTTCTAATTGTTAATGCAGCTTAAAATGGAGAGGGAAGGAGGGAGGGAAAATGCTAGGGGAGGGGTGGGAGGGAAGCGCAGGCATCAGGAAGTGACAGCAGCAACAGGAAAGCACCTTCAGGTTTCACCTGTCACACCCGTTCTCAGGTTACGTGACAGTCTGTTGTGTTCATTTTGTTTCTTTTTTGCCGGATGCCATCTGGTTGAGTTCTTACAAGTTTGACAAATATAATGCACCTGCAGTCCGCATGTTCCTGGCTCTTTGTAGCCTTTTATTTCCTATTTCAAAAAAAAAAAAAAATTAGTGCATGATCTATCAAGTTTCTTCTAATACTAAAACTGTTACTGTTATTTAGTGGCAGAAATAAACTGCCAACATCTATGTGGTACTTGCATCTCATAACAAGTATTCCATTTGACTTTTAAAGTCATACTAAGAGAGGAAAGAGTTGCTTTCCTCATTTTATGGATGAGGAAGTTTGAAATTGACACCTCAGACTGCTAGCCTAAGTTTCTAACGCTGGTCAGAAAGCCAGAAACCAAAACTTAAACTTGTTTTACTAGTTGCCATATGAATTACATCTGACATAATAGCTTAATTGTTTTCCCTTTAAGTAATACTACGTGTTTGTCCATTTTACAGACCTTTAGTGATAACTTGTGTTTACTTCTCTAAAACTTCTAACTTTTGTTTTTGGCATTTCTGTATGTACATACACTATATGTATATATTTATACCTATATAGTTATATTTATATAATATATAAACATTTATATAAATATGTATGTTGAACTATCTCAAAGATTGTAAATTTTAATTATTTCATTTTACTATCGTGATTATATTAACCAGTAATTCTTTTAAAATATTTGTTTGAAATTTTGAAAACCTGTTCTGATACTTTTATTAGCACTTAGGAGCAGCATTCACATTTTCCAGCCTCTCTCTAAGATACAAAGTGAATAGTTAATTATTGCAGTCATTGCATATGCTTTATATTGAGTTGTGCCTTATTTACCAAGTACTCAGCTGCTGTTACTTACCTTGGCTTCTTCCTAGTTTTATCATCCTTCAGCATTCTTATCAGAGAACAGCCTTCATGTAAGAATATCTTAAAACACACGGAAGAGTGGTGTTTCTGTGGCAGGACTTGGGTTAATTCTTCCTGATTTTCACGGTGGGCTACCCGGTGGCCGCCCGCTGCCCTGGCGTTGCTCTCCACGTGCTCTGCGCGTACCCCGCGTTCGTGGAGGCTCCTTGCTTTCTCTCAGGTCGGCCTCTGGCCTTCACACATGCAGCTCGCCCTGCCTCGAAGTGCTCTTGACTCCTGCCTGTCTCAGTTTCTTCCTTATTCTTCAGATTTTCAAACACACTTGATACTCTCATACCCTCCCTTTCAAGTTATTATAATTTTTTGCCTTAAATCTTTAATTTCTGTTTTGAAATTATTTGTTTTCATATGGAATTACTTATGTATCATTCTCTCTTAATAAAATGTAAAATGCATGACTATAAAAATCAGTTTTCTCGGGTTGGGGGTTTAGCTCAGCGGCATAAACACCTGCCTTGTAAGCAGGGGGTCGTGAGTTCGATCCCCGGTACCGATAAAAAAAAAAAATCAGTTTTCTTCCTGTGCGTAGAGCTAAATAAATCCTTACTATGAAAATGAGTACCTCTATTATCATTTTCTGCCTCATGATTGTTGAGCACCCATCCTAAACAAAAATCAAGAATCTTTTCTGCTAAGTACAGAAGCCACACTAATGGGATGGCAATCTACCAACCCACCAGTGTATTCACTGTGGACCTTTCTTTCAACTCCATTTTCTTAATCATTTGCTTCTCTTTCATTTCATTTCTATCATCGTGTCACTTTCCTGTAGTCAGCAGGGTACATTAGAACTCTAGTAAGTAAGAAAACAAAGGAGGAGCCCCTACCCCCCAAAATAATACTGACAGTGTGTTCACTATTTATCTTTTATTTTCCTTAACAGGATACAGACTGGCGTTTAATTACTTAAAAGCAAAAAGATATGTGGATGCAATTGACATATGTCACCAGGTAAACAGTTAAATTTAGATTTCATAAGATTTTTCAAATACATGGTTCCTTACTTTTAGTCAGTCTCAAGACATATATACAAATTAATATCTGAGTTAGCAGATACCTAAAGATAATATAAAATCTCTAGGTCATTTTTCTGAGTAGATGATCTCGTGAATTATTTTGAATCTGTTTATTAGATAATCTCAATTTATACATAAAGATAAAAATAATCTGTAATTTGTTATTTCCATATCTATAATTCTCTCCCTACTTCATGATCCTCTACTGAAATTGTAATTATAGTTCATATAAAGCATTATATTAAACATTGTATAAAGCTCCAAGGAAAAGCTCCTTAAAAAAGAGTTTTTCATGTTATTTTTCCCAGATTACTTTATAATGAGTAAATACTTGGCCCCAGTGAATCCTATTGATTGCTGAGTCACTGTGTAAGGCAGTATTTCTTCTTAAAGTTAAGAATGTACCTTAATGTAAGGCTAGACATTAATGTCACCATGGCGTTCTTTTTTTTATGACTGTTTCCCCATTTTTAGATTAATGGGCTTAGTTATCTATATGTTTCAAAGGTGTGCCCCAGCCAAACCTGATGTGATATATTTGGTTAAAAAAAAAAATCACTCTCCAAGAGTTTATTAAGTGTTATAAGTAGATAAATTACAAAATTACGCTAATTAAAAAATAATGTAAGTATTTCCTGTAACTTGTGTTTAGGAAACAGTTATATTGTTACATCTTCCACAAGTGGCATTCACATTGTACTGTTCTAATCCATTAATGTAAATGAATCATCACATTACATCTAAACTGTCATCTTTGAAAAATGCTATGCCTATAATAATAAATTTTGTAGTACCCTGCTTCTTAGTAATTACACAGTCTTTTTTTCCTTGTTTTTTGTTGGTTTATTTTTGTTTTTGTTTTGTCTTTTCAGGTTCTTGAAGCACATCCAACTTACCCAAAAATCAGAAAAGATATACTTGATAAAGCCCGGGCATCTTTGAGACCTTGAAAATAGTGACCTTAATCTATTTTATTGACTAAGCAAGAAATAAAAGAAATCAACATTGAGTACTTCAGTTCAAGACAGGTTTCAGTGAATTCTTGTGTAATAAAGCATATTTCTTTTTCTCCAGCAGAGGCTGCTGCAGTATATGGAAAGATATTATGTTAAATTGGTTTTCTAATGAAGAAGTTAAATGAAAACTAGTCTTTTTGATGAGGTGCAAATTTAGTAGCTCTATGATAAAACATTTCTAAAAGAACATTTTTGCTAAAATCTAATATGTTTTCTTAAAGAATATTCATTGTTTACTGTGTATATTTAAAATGCATTGTTCTAGTTTTTTTGTTATAGTCCAATGATATTTTAAAGGCTTGAGTAAATCTCCTTAATTTATGAAAAAAGACAATATGTATTTTTAATATATATTAATAAAGATTATATAAATATATGGTTTAATTCTTCTTGGAACTCAAAAGATTTAGTAAGTTTTGCAAAATCGGGATTATCTTCCATGCTATTCATAAAGAACTCTACTGAACAAACTGAGAGTTTCTTAGGAAAACATTTTTTGGAAAAGTGTAAAGTGTGTTTCCCTTTGTTGACTTCATGCATCTTGCTGTTAGTGACAATGTATATTAAAACATAATCATTAGCTGAAATCAGTTTAAATAGATAAGTGCTTAGAGGAATATTTAACCTTAAACCATAATACTAGGCCTTGTAGTGTACCAGACCTTGTCAGCTGGCAGAGAAGGAGTATACATTGCTTTTAGTTATTTGGGATTCAAAGCATACTGTGTACAATTTTTATCCAAAATCAGTAAGATTTGTTCTCAGCATTAGTTTTAATTTCTTATCTACACTTTTTTCAGTTCTTTTAAAATACAGTAAATGCAGTCTCCTATGTCATTTGCATTTGCAAAGTACAGCTATTTTGAAAAGTCATGTGCTGCTTTTCTTTAAATGTCCTGTTTATTTTGAACAATAATCTGTCTGATTTCTCCAATTTTTCTCCCAATTTTTCACTGTCATTTTTTTTTTAATTTCAAAGAGAAAAAAACCAAATGAGAGAAAACAAAATGGGTCAGTCAAAACAAAAGGCTAGATTTAGTACATGACTTAAAACCAAAATACAAGGTGATCTACAATGGTTACCATGATATCTCTTGCTATCTTCAATAAAATTGCCCATATCATCAGGCATAATAAAATTGAACATAGCAGTGCAGGACAAAATCAATAAAAACAAAGCATTGGAGATATTACAGGAGTTCAAAGGAAGATAATAGTCAAACCAGAATGGTATCATAGTGAATCTTACTGTCTTCTGATTAGTTGCCTATAGCCTTAAAATTGATACTATCAAACATAACAGATTTGAATAAAATCAGTCAAGACAAGACAGCCATCAAACAAAACAGATTCAAAATAAAATCAATCAAAACAAGACAGTGAAAGCAATACGGGACTTCAAATTAAATTAATAGGAAAACCAAATGGTTAGTATATCCTGGAATAGCTGTCCATGCCATCAAATCTAGTACAAGTAGACAAACTGGAACAGAATATAACCAAGCTAAACAAAGTGATGAAAACATTATGGATTTCAAATCATGATACAAGATTAACAATGTCTTCTACTTTCCCATTTTAGACCCCCCTCTCACTTTCACAGGGTGCACTGTATATTTTGTATCCCACTAACTCCCTTAGTATTTAGATTAGGGAGGCAACCTGCTATTTACCTAGGTGGTTCTGAACCTTTTTACTCCTGAGCATGATCTCAAGTTGTATCCATTTACCTACAAAAGCATAAAGGTTTTCCTTTCTTATAGCTGAGTAGTTCTCCATCGTATAAAAGTGTTATGTCTTTCTAACCAATCTACAGCTGATGGGCGAGCTACTCCCACTTTTTTCTGGTTCCCTGTCACATGAAGCATTATTTTGTCATCTTTGACTTTCAGTCCATAAACCGTCTTTCAGGTTAATTACATTTCTTATATAGAGCATCTTGATGGGCCCTACCTGCTGATCCACTCTGCCTCTGTTTCTTCTGTATCAAGGCCATCCATGTTAGTGATTATGGCCAACCTTCTCTGCCTCATCTCTGCCATGCTATTTTTTTGCCATTGGTTGTCTGCTTTTCCCCTGCATTCCAATGTCTACCCCATTCAGTAAGCCCCCTCTACCGCTGTTCCTAAAAACAT